CCTCCTCCTCCACCGCCTCCGGTCGAGTACCACTCACCGGAAAACTCAAGCCCACCACCGCCGGTATACTCTTCACCATCACCGCCGGAATACTACCCACCCACCGTACAAAGTCCTCCTCCGCCGCCTCCCGTCGAGTACCACCCACCGGAAAACTCAAGCCCACCGCCGCCGGTATACTCTTCACCTCCGGTGGAATACTCTTCACCACCACCACCGGAATACTACCCACCCACCACACAAAGTCCTCCTCCGGCTCCGGTCGAATACCACCCCCCGGAAAACCAGACCCCACCACCAGAATACCATTCTCCACCGCCGTCGAGTGGCTGCAACGAAGGCCATGGTCCACAGCCTCCTCCGAGCCACGACCGAGACCATAGCCAGCACCATTACCCAACACCATCACCACCACCACCATTGACTCCACCTGAGTACTCATACTCTTCACCACCTCCGCCGTCCCCTCCGCCGCCGTCGTACGATGACTCGCCGCTTCCACCAATTCCCGGCGTCTCGTACGCATCTCCTCCTCCGCCGTATATTCCTTACTAGTTTAAAGTGATCGATCAACACCACCATGGGAACTTCTGCAAAATGCGTTGTCTTTGTGAGAGAGAATTAGTGCACATTGGTATATTCTTTTGGCTGCAACGTTAACGTATCTTGTGTGTTTGGAACAACATTTCTATGTATTTTTATTTTTTCTTATCGAATGTTTTGTAACTTATATATATATATACGTATTTTCCATTCAAAAGATACTAAATCTTTATACAAGGTGACACAATCTTTTTGTGAATACAATTTTTTGCGTAAACTGTAGCTAAATGAAATGCAAAGATACTTTCACTAGAAATACGATCGGAAGTCACATTTATAAAACTTAGATATTTGAAATTAAAAAATATATATAAATAAAAGCTTTGGGAATTTTGATTTTATTTATAGTTACTATTGCTTACGTATATGTTACATTCTTTTTTTTTTATCAAGCCACAACAACAATTTATCAAAAATTTAAATTGGTTTGGACCAATATCGATACATATGCCTCACTTCAAGTACAAAATCATATTGAATATTTCTAATTTATGTTTTATTTATTTATGCGCAATATAATTTTTCTTAGAGAGCGGATTGAAATGTATTTATTTTTAAACTTCGTTTAGTGAAATTTTCGTGTCGATTAATTAATATTTATACGTTTTGGGGGAAATTGGAAATATATAAAAATCTAAAGGACTAGCAGCGCAAATACTTACCTAACACTTTCACTCCTACAAATGTCAGTCCGCATAAACTATCAAGAGTTTCCTATCACCATACCAAAATTTCCTGGAGAGCTCCGATAAGCCTTCGCCGGAGATCTAATTACCGTCGCCGTTGATGGCTCTGCTGAAATCGTTCGTTGATGTCCGACCAGACTCTCACTTCCCGATCCAGAACCTTCCTTACGGCGTGTTCAAGCCGGAGCCGAGCTCGTCGCCGCGTCCCGGCGTCGCAATCGGCGATTTCGTCCTCGACCTCTCCGAGATCTTTAGGGATGGACTCTTCGACGGTCCGATACTCAGAGACTCCGATTGTTTTCTTCAGGTATGGACCGTTTTCGTTATGTTTCCTGTTTGATTCGAGAGTAGAATTTCAACCATGTGTAGTGCTAGATTTGTTTCTAGGAGTGGTATTTATAGTGTTTTGGATCCATATGATCAGTGATTGTACATTGGTTTGGAATCTTATTGTTTCGCTTCTACCAAAAAGAAAAACTGGTCGTCTTGCTCCATGGTTAAGTACGAATGCCAGGAGAAGTTCGTCTAAGTTCTGAATTCTGTGGCACAAACTAAAATTATCTTTCAAATTAACAAAATAATCCTGTGAATCTCTAATTATGCGTGTAAGACATTTAATGTGCGTTTTGGAGAGTACTTGTTCATGGATACTAAAATTTGTTCAACCAAAATTAATTGGTTTTATATAGTTACCAAACTATAATAATGATCTGATTTGTGCTCAATTTGTCATTAATCATATATTCATGTGTTCTGGTTGCAGCCTAATCTGAACAAGTTTTTGGCTATGGGGCGTCCTGCATGGAAAGAAGCTCGTTCCACACTTCAGAAACTCCTATCATGTTTGTTTGTTTTGATCCTAACTTTTTCTCCTGTGTTATATCAGCTTATGAGGCGTTTATATTACTAAAAGAAATGTTGAAATTTAGTTTTTGGATTAAGGTTTTGGTTTGGTATGTCTTGATGCAGCTGGTGAACCGACCTTGCGTGATAATGATGAATTGAGGAAAAAATCCTTTTATGAGATGGTAATATGAGCAAATTTGTTCCTGAAATATTGAAGATTGTTTGAAGTTTTGTTACCGATGTTAAATACTTTGGTGTGAGTCTGCAGAGTAAAGTTGAAATGGTTCTTCCTATGGTGATTGGGGACTATACTGACTTCTTTGCGTCCATGCATCACGCAAAGAACTGCGGACTTATATTTCGTGGGCCTCAGAATCCAATAAACCCAAATTGGTGCGTTCATGTAACTTTGAGATCACATTTTTTTGTCTTTTTTTTTAACTGAAATGGGGAAATCATGAAGCTAGATATGATGAACATTCACACAACATTACCATGTTTTCAGGTTTCAACTTCCCATTGCATATCATGGACGGGCATCATCTATTGTCATCTCTGGAACTGACATTATTCGACCGAGGTAAGTTTATTGTTTCCGAGATCGTGTATCATTACCAGCTGCTGTGATCACACCGACAATCGTTGGCCGAGAATTCACTGTTGCTTGTTTACTATTTTTTGCAGTAATAAATTATACCTGTCAAGCCCCATGCTTATTATTTGTGTGCGAGTTTTCATGCTCTAATTCTAAATGCATATTGCCTTTTTGCTCTCTTAGAGGTCAAGGCCATCCACAAGGCAGCTCTACTCCATATTTTGGACCTTCACAGAAGCTTGATTTCGAGCTCGAAATGGTAAGCATCTGGTGGCATGATTCTCTGGCTTCTGATTCAGCTCGAAATCCATGGTTGAGTCATTATTTGGTGTTAATTAAGCATAAAACCAATGGAAGCTTGAGAGTGAGCCTAACCACCTGATGGACACAAATTGTGCAGGCTGCTGTAGTTGGGACAGGAAATGAATTAGGCAAACCCATCGATGTTAACAACGCAGCTGATCATATATTTGGTCTTGTACTTATGAATGACTGGAGTGGTACTCACCTTACACCTTGATTTTCTCTGGCTCATCTTCTCCCTGATCAAGCTTGGCTGAAATTATGAAACTTCGAAATGTTGGTTTGTTATACAGCTAGGGATATTCAGGCATGGGAGTATGTGCCTCTTGGGCCTTTCCTTGGGAAGAGTTTTGGTGAGATCTGTGCTGTAATCTCTCTTTGGATTGGAGAATTTGTGCTATGATTTCAATTACTCTTTCTACTGACGAAGTATTTTATTGCTAATTCTCTTCAACTATGTGTCAGTCTTAAGATTTGTGTAAAATATTTTCTTGTGTCATAGGAACTACAATCTCCCCTTGGATTGTTACTCTAGACGCTCTCGAACCTTTTGCTCGCCAAGCTTCTAAGCAGGTAAAATACTTGAAGCATCAAATTCTTTGTTTTACTGTCCTGAGACCTTGGAATCAAGTGGTTATAATTGTCTTTTTCTCTATGATATTACAGGATCCACCTCCATTGCCATATCTGGCCGAGAAAACATCAGTGAATTACGATATTTCTTTAGAGGTAGCGTCCAATTATACGTGGCGATTTTGGTTTTCATTATACACCATCCTTTCTCTTGCTCTCTTTTATCTGATGCGTCTCAAGGCTCAAACTTCATTAAAATATTGACATGTTATTCCTATCAGGTTCAACTTAGACCTGCAGGGAAAGACGATTCTTGTGTAGTAACAAGGAGCAACTTCCAAAACTTGTAAGTCTCCCCTGACTTTACTTGCTTGTACCATCCATCCATCACTAAACGTTAAATATGCATATCGATTTCTTTGAACCATATGTGACAGATATTGGACCGTAACCCAGCAGCTCGCACACCATACTGTTAACGGCTGTAACTTGCGGCCCGGAGATCTCTTTGGGACCGGAACCATTAGCGGACCTGTAAGTAATGCCATTTTGTATTAACCAGTCTTTCAATGAAAACACGATAACCCATTCTTCTGTTTGACTTTTGATCACGGCAGGAGCCAGGTTCACTCGGATGTCTGCTTGAGTTAACTTGGAACGGGCAGAAGCCTCTTTCGCTTAACGGAACATCTCGGAAGTTTCTAGAAGACGGGGATGAAGTGATCTTCACCGGTTTGTGCAAGGTAAAAGTTCAGCTTTCGAAAACTCTTGAACCCATCTTGAAATAGAACTCAGGGTGATTGTTCAATAAAGGAGTATATGTCGGTTTAGGCTGAATTTTCCTTAACCGGGTCTGATTGTGGATAAAACCAATGTAGGGTGATGGTTATAATGTTGGGTTTGGAAAATGCACCGGCAAAATTGTGCCGTCACTGCCATGACGAGCTTTCCGCCAAGGTACTTTAGAACCGCCAGTTTGTTTTTATTAACCAAAAGCATTTCCAAAGTTCAGTATTGAAAGATTTAATTAACGATAGGATATTTAACTCTTCATATAAATATATTTTGCAGTGATTGTGAAGTGGAAGATAACCGAAGTAACGGGTATCGTGGGGGATTATGATGATGAAATGTGCAATCAGGTATATGAGTTGAATAAGCTGTTTCAATATTGTGTATTCCACAATAGTATGATTTACTTGGGCTTGTATTTCATTGGATATGATCTGTTTAGTGTGTTGCATTGGTTCTCACCTTTCGGGCGAAATTTGAAATGTTTTTTTTTCTTCATACAACGTGATTATGATAAATGAGTGGAAATGGACCACCAAAGAACGGTCGGTCGCATATCGCACGTATTTTGAAACTTGTCTAAAACTTGTACAAATTTCATTTAAAACTACTAAATGTAACCAACAAAAAAAAGATCAACCCAGTTCGTATTCCATCTAATGGGGTGATGGGGAAGAGAATATACTAGACCGTCTTATCTACATTTTATGTAAAGACATATTCGAACCCGCGATCTTAGATCACATGGTAAATGGTTTTACCGATGGTAAATGGTTTTACCGCTGAGCTAAGTCGAAGAAGAAGAAAATGAGTTGAGAAAAAAAAAACAATAACTACAAAAATGCATGCGTGACCATGAACCAAACATTGCATGTGCTTTGGTTCATATACATAGGGGAGTCAAAACGAGTTCGGCTCGCGAACCGGTTCGTAACTCGCCAGAAAACAAGCGAGTTGAGTTATAATTTTTTTGCTCATTTAATTTACATATCATATTTATTAATTTACATATCGTATATATATAATATAAAAAATTCTAACATAACTTGTATTTCTTTCTTCTCATATATACTCATGTGATATTCTAAATATTTCAATTACTATGATGGTGATAATATAAAATAATAAATAAAAATCAAAGTATAAATATGAAAATGTTATTGAGATATGTTTTATTGGCTCGTTCAACTCGAAAAACTGGCGAGCGACCTGAATCGAGGTTCTTTTTGACTCGTTAGAAAACGAACATGACGAACTGAGTCCGAAACGATATGAGTCTAATGAGTCGAGCCAAAAACGATCCGAACCGACTCGTTTGACATCACTACATATACATACTCATAGTGGATTTATATACCAACATTTGATAAATTCAAATTACCTAAATTTTATGTAAAACATATCTGTCACTTGCATTACGTTCCTTTAAAACTGCCAAATTTTAGCAAATAAAAGAAATTGTATGATAGTGTAAAAGAAAAATGTGTAAGTTAAACAATGCATGCATGTGTAACATTTTCCTTTATAAAAAAAATAAAAGAAAAATGTCAAGAAAAAAAATACTTGTCACTATGTAAATAAACAATGCATGCATGTGTAACAATAACTCAAACATTGCATGTATTTTACTTCATAATGTCTAAAATTGTATGTTAGTGTAACCGCTTATTAGTAATGGTACTTCTGGAATATATAGTTCGTTAAATCCAATAGCAAAAAAGTAAGTTACGAAAAATTAGTTCTTATACATATACACATAAAACATAATTATAGATCAACAAGGACAAGAATAATTTAGCCAAAATAAAATTAGATTTATGACTTGGCTAAATAAAACATATGATTTATATTTGATTTAAATTCTGGAGATTTGAAGCGATTTTCAAGTAAGTGAAATATATAGCATGCGTAGTCAGAAACTTTATACTAAACACTCTTATTACATGTTTATTCATATATAACGAACGGGTTGATACATACACAACACTCATGACCAATCAAATTCTAAGCAATACAACTACACTTGCACCTCGAAACGCAACGCTTGCAGTCGGAAAGCGACGGCTTGACCGCAGCGGCAGCGTCGCAACCGCAAGTCGCGGTGCATTTCCTCTGGGACCCACCTCCCCAAAGGCACCGAGCCATGCAGCGTAGCAGCGGAACGCACTTTGGGCAGCCGTAATTCAGCTGCTCCGAAACGCAGGTTTTGCAGCTGTTGCTGTTGCGGCTACGGGTGCGATTGCGGTTGCAACCGGAGGCAGCTGTGGCGGCGGAGATTGAGATTGATAGGAGAGTGAGGAGACAGAGTATGAGAGAGAGGTTTTGTGTCTTCATTTTCACTAGTTCTGGCTAGGGTTTTGTGAGAGTTGGAGCTATTTATACACGAAAGAGAGAGAGAGAGAGAGAGAGAGAAAATTAGATTTATGACTTGGCTAAATAAAACATATGATTTATATTTGATTTAAATTCTGGAGATTTGAAGCGATTTTCAAGTAAGTGAAATATATAGCATGCGTAGTCAGAAACTTTATACTAAACACTCTTATTACATGTTTATTCATATATAACGAACGGGTTGATACATACACAACACTCATGACCAATCAAATTCTAAGCAATACAACTACACTTGCACCTCGAAACGCAACGCTTGCAGTCGGAAAGCGACGGCTTGACCGCAGCGGCAGCGTCGCAACCGCAAGTCGCGGTGCATTTCCTCTGGGACCCACCTCCCCAAAGGCACCGAGCCATGCAGCGTAGCAGCGGAACGCACTTGGGCCAGCCGTAATTCAGCTGCTCCGAAACGCAGGTTTTGCAGCTGTTGCTGTTGCGGCTACGGTTGCGATTGCGGTTGCAACCGGAGGCAGCTGTGGCGGCGGAGATTGAGATTGATAGGAGAGTGAGGAGACAGAGTATGAGAGAGAGGTTTTGTGTCTTCATTTTCACTAGTTCTGGCTAGGGTTTTGTGAGAGTTGGAGCTATTTATACACGAAAGAGAGAGAGAGAGAGAGAGAGAGAGATTTTGCATGTCCACGTAGATGATAAATAGCGTCTTGTTATCTTTACGGCGTCTACGTGACAATACGGTCGATCGAACTAAAAGAATGAAATTAGTTTTGTATAACGTATAATGATCGTGTTTTGTCTAATATTTTTCTTTTTTTAATTACGAAATGACGACGAAGTAGAATTAGGTGGTGCATGTAGACGCATTTAAGTCGGACTCATTCATTGCCGTTGGAAATCTGAGATGTCTCGGTATGCACAATTTCTTTAAATGCCATCTTTCTTACATACATACATACATACATACATACATATATATATATATATGTATGTATACATACACTTCGAAATCACGTCTTTCATTTGATTTCTCTAACGTATTTAAAATCTCCTATATATAAAAGAAAATCACGACATGTCCGGTTAAAAAAAAAGCCATGGCATGTCGAGAAAAACGATCAAAAACTCGAACAAGATCTTTATTCATGCACGAAATTAGAAACTAAATAACATAGGATATCTAGTAGTCTGCAAAATCAACATGACACCCAAGAAATCAAGAATGGAAATTCGGTCGGTCCAAAACTCCATCGGCAGCAGATTCTCTCGGAATCTTATGCCCTCGAGTTGTTGTACTACGTACGTACTGCATGTAAAATTAATTAATCCATAAACATAATCGGAACCAAAATTAAATAGTAAATGATATAATACTCTCTTTTAATTTTCATATTAAATTCAACGGATCAGTGCCAATTCTTGCGGATGTCGAAGGTGTAGTTGATCTCCAAGTAGCACTTGTTATCGTCATCGACGAACTGAAAAAAATAAATTAATCCGTAAATCACTAGTTCATTGGGAGAAATATATATGTAGAAAATTTAAAAAGATTCTAATAGTCACTTAATATATTATTATTTATTTATATTTGATTTTGTTTTTTATTTTTTAGACATTCGAATTAGATAACAAGGATTTTTAGGTTGTGAATCTTGATCTATAATAACAGCCATCATTAGTTAGTAATAACAATCTTCTCACATATCTATCGAACTACAACGAGAACATAAAATACCCAATAGACTATGATGCTACTCCCTCCATTCCATTTCTTAATATTTGTTATTGATAATAATTTTTTGTTACTAGATGTCATTTTAGGTTTTATAGGTAATTTTTTTAAAATAATTCCCAATTTTACCCTTAATTAAAACTAACCAATTCCAATAAATTAAATGAGTATTAATTATATTTCAATAGTTTCTTGAAAAAAGTTATAAAGTCAATTATTTAGAAATAGAGGGGGTATAAATTAAAGAAAAACCAAAAGAATTAATTGTGAAGGATGAGAGGGTTTAATTATTAACTTTTCACAAACAATTTAACAGCTAATATATAAGATTAGGTAAATTAATTAGTTTATGGATCATTTAATTACCTTGGTTCTTGCGGAATAGGACCCTCTCGCAAACATACCGGACGGCGTCGTTTCCTCGGGTATCTCATGAATGTAAGGCTCAGCTTGAGGACTGAACGTCCCTAACATCTCCTTTGTACTATCCACTGCGTCCCCCACAAGACCAAAGAAAAACAAAACATTTTGATTTCGTATACAGATCTTCAAAAGGAATGATCCGGTCAGGGGAGAAGTGAAAGACGAAAATACCCTTGACGCCGGTCTTCCAGACAGTGTTGTGGTACCGGAGGCCGGAGACAATGTTGTTGGTGACACGGAAGGTGAAGATGAGTGTGTACTTTGATCCTTCCTTCAGTGTGAACCATAACCCCTTAGGGTTTCCATCTTCTGGGATTGTCAAAACGATGTCGTCTCTCTCCGGCGATCTTATCGCCAGGTTTAAGATCTTCACCACCGGATCAGGTGTTTCTGTGTATCAAAGCATCACATATTATCGATAGATTAAAACTCTCAAACTATATTTGATATATTCGCAAATTACTCTTTGAAATGATATATATAGGTTCCTTTTTATACCATCCCTTAAGCTAGCAAACATATTCCAAGAAAAGAAAAACTAGGGTTTCACCACAGTCATAATATTTGGTTTGGACTTCGGTTTTACCTCCGACATCGTTGAGATCCACGGTCCCAAGAAGCTGTTCTTTCCATCTCCTTAAGCTTTCATCATCCTGGAAAGATCCATTCGTTAATTACAAAAATAAAATGAGAAAAAGGGTTACGGAATCGAATTTGTTTATAACCAACCCACAATATTTCTTGGTATTGGTTAAGATAGATCTCTTCACCTTGATTAGGATCAAATCACATGATTCGTGATGAATATGAAAAGATTATCTGTTGTAATTGCAAATTTGTGTACACGTTTTTAAGATTCCCTGTTATAATTAACTCATTAAAGGGAGAGAGAGAGAGAGAGATTCTTCTAATACTACTATTGGAAAGATGCAAACGCGGGTGCCTTGACACAAAAGAAATCAAGCCAAATTAACAAACCCTAAAACTTCGATCCAATTAAGATCATCATTTATATCGACATATATATATACATATATATGTAATGGTAACCCAAATATAAATCTGGGGAGAGAGAGAGAGAGGACCTTGTCTTTCTCAAGCTGTTCCTTGAGTGCAATCATGGGACCGAGTTCAATCTTCTTGACATCATCATCTTCTTCATCGTCATTCTCATGAGCAGAAATGGAGCTCTCGCTGTTCTTTCTGCTAATTCCATGCCCCATGCCCTCATTGTTCTCTTTCTCCCCCGAAACCTCTCTTTTCTCTTCATCTATCAAACCCATCTTCTCCTCTCTCTTTTTATATCAAAGATCTTAAAACTCGTCCAATTCACGAATTCTTGAGATCGATTTGGTTGATGGGAGGCGGTAATATGAGATTTTTCACGAAAGAGATCTAAATTATACTGTTAATGGAGATTTAAAAAAAAAAGATCGAGGAGATGCAAGAAACGTTGAAAGGGCAAAAAACTAGGGAAAATGACAACAAAAGGGGAAGAGAGGGAGATAGAATTGGTGTTTTTTTGTTGAGGAATAAATGGACGTTACAAAAATGGAGTGAATTAGATGAAACGGTCATATGTGGTGATCCTTAAAATTTTCATGTAAATTTACTAAATTTGCACAAATTATATAATAATAACTCATACAGATTTTAAAATTCCTTGTAATGTATTTTCGTGTAATTGCTTTATTAGAGTTTGTTTTGCCAATATATAATAATGTTCATAGTTTAGCTTATATTGAACCGTGAGGAATATTTTTTTTCCCGACGAAAAAACAAGTGAAATTGAATGTTTTCATTGTGAGATAATTCGTACGGCTCTAATAGATGAAATCTGTAAAGGTGTTAATGGATTGGATGATTTAGCAATTTATCAATGAACCTAAACAAATCTATAAAATGGAGCTCATAGCAAATTTCACCAATCGTATTAAGGATCCTTAAAGGCCCATCTATATAAGCACAGTAATGGCCCGTGGCTTTGGTCTGGACCGTACCCTATAGTGGTTTAAAGTTTTGGGTCGGAGTTGGTTTTTGTTTTTGTTTTTAAATTGAAAATGATACTAAAACAAATCTTTTGATTCTAATAACTTAAAATGATCAATTAAAAAATTTGGAATCTTATTATTAAGGGTAGTTTACTATGTATATCTACACGAATATTTACTCATATTATGTTCCTAATTTTTTTAATTGATATATATATAAAATAAGTTTTGACGTGTAAATAACTAATTTTCCCCCTAAATTATATACAAACTTTAGAAGGGAAACGGAAATATAACACACTAAATTATATACAAACTTTAGAAGGGAAACGGAAATATAACACACTTTCTGTAGATTAATTAAGAAAACTAATTTGACTGTGATCTACTTTGTTGTACTACTAAGATATAAAAAAAATTATATATATAATATGTATATTAAAGTTTTTTTTTAAAAATAAATTAGAATGGGCATTTTAACCATTTTTTTTATTTTTTTATCTTTTTTTTCCTATCTTATTATTAGGGGTGTAAAATGGACATGGTGGATCGGGTTCGGGTCAGATTTAATTCGGTTTAAATTTTTTTGGATCGGACTAACCCATCCATTTATTGTTCGGGCCAATGATCGGTGGTCTGGAGTCCACCTCTATAGGATTTCGGGCATATTCGGATAATGTTTTGAATTTTTTTCTATTTAATAAAAAATAATTATTAGTGTATAATAATAATAATAATAATAATAATAATAATAATAATAATAATAATAATAATGTTAAGTTATTTAGCAATTATTTTAAAAAAAAATCAGCAATAGCAAATTTTCGTCTTTATCAATTACAATTAAAAAATTTTAAATCTAAAAAATAATCATGTAATTTTTTAAATATATAAATTATCTAATATTTTTAATATATATATATATATATATAATAAAAAAGATATTCTGTACAATAAAAAGTATATAAAAAATTGAGATAAAACTTAAAAATCAAAGTTAAACTTATAAAATAATTATATATATATATATCAAACAAAAATTTAATCAAACCGTTCAATAATATATATATATATATATATATATATATATATTATATATATATATAAAATAGAGATCTTTGCAGGCACCGGGGGTTTTCGGTGAATTATTAACAAGTTTGGGGTTTTTTTGGTTAATCATACCAAGTATAGGGTTTAATTGGTAAGCAAAAAAGTACAGGGTTTTTTCGTTGACCTGGGAAGAGTACAAGGTTTTTATGGCGATTTTCCCAATTTAACAATTTTTTTAGAAAAACAACAATAACAAAATTTTCGTCCGTATCAATTATAATTAAAAAAATTTAAATCTAAAAAATAATCATGTAAATTTTAAAATATATAAAAAACATTGAGATGAAACTTAAAAATCAAAGTTAAACTCATAATATATATATATATATATATATATAAATTAAACTAAAATCTAATCAAACCGTTCAATAATATATATATATATATATATATATATATAATTTTAATATATATATACCAAAATATTTTGAAATATAAATAAATATATAAAAAAAATACAAAATAAATTTTTTTTATACATTGTTGTGTGACATGAGATCTCAAATAAAAGTAAAAATCTAATTATCTAAATTTCTTCGAGTTAAATGGGCAGATCGGATGAGTTTCGGACTGAATTCGATTCGAGCCTGAATTTTTTCAGATTGAACCGGTTCATCTATTTATTTATTGGGTCTATATTATTAGGTACAAACCTTTAATTTTTGGGATGGATTTCAGACCGGATTTCAGATTTCGGGTTTTATTGACATCCTACTTATTATATTCACATCTTGACCACATATGATCTCATCAATGCAATTTCCATATAAGCAACCGAAAGAGCTTTATATTTCAAAGAATGTATGATATCACTATAAAATGGTGTTTATATATGCAAAACAACAATGTATAATTTTAAAACTTATTTATAAATGCGTATTTTAAATCAAGACAACAATAAATAATTTAAAAAACTATTATGGGATTCTGTCGCCGAAGGCTTGATCATTCGAAAAATTCCAGTGGGACCAGATAAAGCTTACACCTCATAGTGGGACCTATATTCGTTGTATTTGACCACATATATTCTGACACGTGGAAATATGCTCACAGATCTGAATCAGCACCGGGATCAACGGTACAGAAATAAATACAGTATCCGGTATGTCCGACTTTAACATGACACGTGTTCATGTCATGGGTCTTTAAAATGCGTTACATATCATAAAATCGGACCCCACTCCAAACTTTGAATTATTTCAATATTTTTTTATCGCGATCTAAAGAAATAATAGTTTATGAAATAAAGTTACGGTGGAACAGAAAAGAGCAAGGCAGCCTTATTTCATTTAAAAAAAGGTATTAGTTACAAATGATAAATTATTGTTTAAAAAGATTCAATTATTCTATAATATATATATATGGCAATAAATTGAAACAATAGAATTAGAGAAATTAAGATAGATTATAGTATTTTAAGAGGATTTTAGAAAATATATAGAATCTTAGTGTTTACCTTGTAAAGGAATATAGAAAATGTGTGGATTCAAGTGGGACCCAACTTCATGGGGGCCATTTTCAGCCGTCCATACTTTTATCTGCTTTTCTCTGTCCTACCTTTACCATCACATTATGTCAAGAAAAATAAGAATATAAAGTATAAACATTGAATTTTGATGAGAGAATTAATTAGTCTTACATTTTTATATTTTCAAGCCAAATTTTGAAGGTTAAGTATCTCGACTGGTTAATACATTTAATAGAATGATTATAATGTCGGGTATATATAATTCTGAATGTGAATTATCATATATATATATATATATATGTATATTAAATTTTATATATTTTATACCAAAAAAAATATTTTACCATCACATTATGTCATCTATCCCAATAAAATATTTATATAATAATCGAATCTAGACTAATCATGATAGTTTACATCTTCTACCAACCCGGTCCAACCGATTAAACTAATAATAAACCATTAGTTTTTATTAAATGTTTTATAGATAGTATAAGATTTCAATTTAAATATAGGGAATAAGATTAATCCTTAATCGGTAGAAAAACACTATACTGTCGTGGTTTTCCTTAATTTATTGGGATATATAAATATATTATAAATTAAAACAAAGACTTTTACAGAGATAAAAGTTCACAATAAACAAAATTTCCTGAAAGAAGTAGTAGATATATAGCTAAAAAAATTATAAGATAAACGTTAGGGTTCATAACTCTAATAATTTGGATGGAAAGGGAAACGCGTGGCAAATCACTAGGATGGCATGTGGGCCACTCCACATGGAGTCCTACCTGGTGCACACTCGAGTGGAACCCACCATATAAGGGTCAGAGAATCAGGCACGTCACCACGTCAGCATGGGTCCCACATGATGATCTTTACCTCCTTGTTCGGTCCCACATCTCATAATTTCGATATTTGAGTTTTATTGCTGTATTTGTTCGGTATAAATTATTCTATTTTAGAAAAATACATAATAACCAGTTATTATATTATAGTTATTATATTATAATCGATTTGATTTGGTTTTAGTTTGTTTGCATTTGATTTAGGTTTTTATTAAGAAAAATATATATTTATTAATAATTTTAAATTTTTTTGAATTTTTAATATTCAATTTGGTTTTGAAATATTCAGTTTTCTAAAAATATTAACACTTATAATTTTCGTACGTTTGATTTGATTCGACGGTATCAAAATTTTCATCCGATTCGATTCCAATATTGATTAACTTTGACTTTAATAGTGAAAACTGCATTATCTTTTCCGGACAAATGTGATTTATTCACTTTGAATTGCTGAAACATATTTCACAGAATTGTAGATTTATAAAAGAATGATCACTCCATATAACATTTTTTTCTTAACTTTTTTATGTGTTAATGTTCATTTTAATGGATAATATTCTCATAGATCAATTATATAGTTCTTCAAATTTTATCTTAAAAAACTTTGAGGTGATCTATAAACATACCGTTAAAATTAATTGCAATATAACATAAAATCTTTGTAGAATAAACGACAAGTCCATCTCTAACTCCAACTATATCCAAAACCCTAATATCGACCGACCCTAGTCCCCAACTTTCTATTGACAATATTCTATCTAAAGATTCAAATAATAATTATATTAATAATTCACAAAAAAAATAAAGATAAAGAATTTACAACTAGACCGAATAATGGCGTGAGGTGTCAAATTGTGCATAAAATAAAAAATAATAGTAAAGAACTATAATGATGCATATGTTTCTCCTATAAATATTTGATCAAAATCTCTTCACTCAGAAACAACAAAGCAAACGTCTCTTCTTTTATTTAAATTCCATTTCCTCTTTTGCTTATTAAGTTCCTCTCCAAATGGCGACCGCTGAGGTGCTTACCAATCTTGTTGATTTCTATAAGTCTATCTTTTAAATCCGATTAAAATTTTCCTAATGGGCAGATTATACATTTAAAAGATCTAATTATATATATATATATATATGTATGTATATACACAATCATATATCTTTCTTTGCCTTGATCCATTCATTTTGTGATCAAATCAGACCAAGGGATCAAAACATCAGTCCGTTTCGTTCCATCAAATATAAACTACATGACGTTTTATATGATAGGAAACTGCAAGACGTTTTGATTTCTAAAGTTCTTTTGATCAACGCGTGATGGCGTGTTTTCCTGCAGGTTGAGCAAGTGATTCCAGCACCGGCAGATCCCGAGGTCACGGAAAAGGTCGAGGAGGTTCCGGCAGCGGAGGATCCAGCCGACGCCGCAACCGAGGAGACGGGGGTGGAAGCTCCTGCGGAAGAAACGGCCAAAGAAATTGTCGTAGAAGAGGCCAAGGAGACAGAGGAACCAGCAGCAGAGGAAACAGAGGAGGTGGTGACCACCGAGGAGGCTAAAGAAGAAGAAGAAGAGAAGAAGACGGAGAAAGAAGTTCCAGCGGCGGAGGAGAAGGCGGAGGAGGAATCTCCGGCCACTGCCGCCGAAGTGGCAGAGGAGAAAGCAGAGGAGTGAGTGAATCTGGAAAGCAAGAGTTGGAGAGATGGTACTGTGATTTCTTGAATGGCTCGTTGCCGTCATTGGGTGTTGTTTTTCTTCTATAATTATTTGGTCCGACCGAATCCTATGTTTTACTGTTATGATTGGATATGATATCTACTTTTTTTGTTTGGTGTATTAGTTCATGCACGCACGTCGTTGACGTATATATCACAGATCGAGTCGGAGCTTCATCTTGGTTAAACATAAAATCAATCTTTTTACAGAAAATTAAGTTCACATGCTCAATCTATTTCTTTAATCGAAAAAAAAGAAAGCTTCGGGAGCTTTCCATGGCGCCACCTCTTCAAGAACCATCAGATTGCATGTTTTTTGTTGGGCCGATCTCTTCAAGAACCGGTAAGCATTTGCCAAAATGTCCAAGAACAACCATGAAAACGCCAACTCATTTGAGATATAATTGCATCTTTGGACATCTTGTCTCTTGGGGGTGGTCGAGTCCATACAGAACATTGCATTGTAAACGTCAGACAAGAACTTGAAAACTGATTAAACATGGCATGAGCTGCTGATTCCATCAGAAGAAAAACCAAACACCAAGAAGAAAACATTCGATAATGGTGGAAATGATCCATTCTTGCTGCGTTTCACCTTCACCTCTCAAACTTCAATTCTGGAGATTTCAATCACTGAGTACACAAAAAAAAAGGATACCACATTTCACTATGCATATCGATCACAAATAAAACTGACTGGATTCAAGTTTCAGGCATACAGAGCTTCAACCATGGAGACAATGCCCGTGTGTTCAAGAATCCGTTCTTGCCAAAAACCGAACATCTAAGTATCAAATGGATGCCTGAACGGATTGTTTTATGCAATGGAAAAGCAAACAGGTGGAAAAGGACTGTACTGGACAGAGACCTGAGTACATGGGCGTATTGGAGGTGTAAGGAGGTTAGCCGACATTGTAGCAGGGTTTGTTATTTTTTGATCCTTTGTATTTTCATTATTTATTCTTTTAGTCCTTAGTTGTATTTTATAAATACACTCTTGTACAGACGTTTAAGGGATAGAGACTACAGTAATCTCTTTCAGAAATTCTTCGTTCTCTTCCATCTTGAAAGTTCTTCCTTCGAGCTATTTTCCAGGTTGCATTATGGTATCAGAGCAGATGATCCTCTGATCTTCCTTTTCCCTTCCGTTTTTTTTCTTCATCCAAACACATCCTACCTTCTTTTTTTTTCCAGATCCGACCTCTACTCACCCTTCTGTTCTTCTTTTTCCAAACCCTAACCATGACCTCTATCCCAGAAATCATCCCAGAAACACCGAACTCTTCAGGCTCTGTTACAGCCAACTCACCCACCTTGTCCCAAACAGATCCATATGCCAACCCTCTTTACCTCCATGCGGCTGATTCTTCCAGCCTCATACTTGTTTCCGACAAATTAGTTGGTGAATCCAACTATAATGTATGGTCTAGAGCTGTTACCAAAGCTCTCTTGGCAAAGAACAAACTAGGTTTTGTCCTAGGAACTGTCTCTAAACCCGCTGATGCTCATGTCGATTCTGGATCTTGGGACCGTTGTAATGCCCTTGTTCTAACATGGCTTACAAACGCTGTTTCCCCAGAAATCGCCAGCCTTATTGTGTATCTTGATGATGCTGCCAAAGTTTGGAAGAACCTGGAAATACGCTTCAAACAAAAGACCGCCACCAAACTCTACAACATCCAGCACCAGCTTGACTCCCTCCACCAAGGTGCTTTGGATCTGAACACCTACTTCACCAAACTCACATCTCTGTGGGAGGAGCTGAAAAATCACGAACCATTCCCTGCTTGCACCTGCGGTAATTGCTCATGTGATCTTGGTGGACGTTGGTTAGACCTGATGGAACGCCGACATGTCGTTAACTTCTTGATGAGGTTAAACGACTCGTATTCTCCGGCCAGAAGGCAAATACTCATGATTGACCCGCTGCCTGACCTCTCCCGAGCTTTCAACCTGGTCTCACAGGAAGAACAACAGCGTCTCACCCTCCCTGGAGGTTCCGATGCTGCGGCTTTCCACATCGGTTCCACACTTCAGCCTTCTCGCAGTCGTCCCCTGCTTCCAACGCCCCAGATTCGCCCTCGACCCACATGTTCACATTGCGGCATGGTCGGACACTTAGCAAGCAAGTGTTACAAACTACATGGATACCCCCCTACCCATAGGGGCTCGTCCACACTAGGCCACCCGCCTTGGACTCCGAAGAACTCTTTTTCTGGCAAACCACGGGTGTTCAACTCTGAGACACCAAGCAAACACGTTAATATGATTGCCAGTCCATCTGTTACATCTGATGTTGCAGACCTTGCTGTTGCTGCCCCAGACCCTAGTCGTTCGGCTTTGGAACAGACCCAGTCCCTGATTGCTCAGTTTATCACCCAGCTCCAAGGTCTGCGTAGCTCTCTCTGTGACTCTGATTTGGCTGCTACCACCTCCAACACCCAACTCTCGCCAGGTATTTTTTCGAACCTCATTCCTATTCTTTCTATTATACAGCCCACCATACCAAACACCTCTACACTCTGGATCCTAGACACTGGTGCGTCTAGTCACATTTGTTGTGATCGAACGTTGTTCTCTGACATATACTCTATACCATCTGTTAATATAACCCTTCCAAATGGCTCTCTCATACCGGTATCTTACTCTGGCACGGTAAATATCTCTCCTCAACTCATTTTGTCCTCAGTTCTCTTTGTGCCATCATTTTGTTTCAATCTCATTAGTATCAGTGCACTCACCAAAGCATCATCTTATACAGTCCTATTTTCTCATAACTCTTACCTTATTCAGGACCCTATTCGGGACTTGACGATTGGGAAGAGTGATCAAGTCCACAATCTATATATACTCGATATGCAACTTCCTCATGCTGCATCTCGCTCTGTTTCGTCCCCACTCTGTACAGCATCCATGATTACCAACCCAGACATTTGGCACTTCCGGTTTGGTCATCCGTCCTCTATCAGAATCAAGCCTGTTGGCGGCAATTCTGATCTGGAATTTTCACCAGTAAAGGCCAATACCCTGCAATGCCAAGTCTGTCCTATAGCTAAACAACGCAGTCTGCCTTTTCCTTCTACACCTCATATGTCTAAAGTCCCTTTTGCATTAGTCCATATCGATGTATGGGGTCCTTTCCATGTCCCAACCATCAATGGGCATAAGTACTTCTTTACTTTAGTAGATGATTGTACCAGGGTTACCTGGCTATACTTAATGAAATCAAAGAGCGACGTTTCTTTTCTTTTTCCTGCCTTTTTAACCATGGTCGAAACACAATATCAATCCACTGTCAAAGCCATAAGATCAGACCATGCCCCTGAACTTTTATTCTCGGATCTACTCACACAAAAAGGAATTTTTCATTACTTTTCATGCCCTTACACTCCACAACAAAACTCGGTTGTGGAGCGCAAACACCAACATATTTTAAACGTCGCTCGATCCTTGCTCTTTCAATCCAATATCCCTCTTTGTTATTGGGGCGACTGCGTTACCACTGCTATATATCTCATAAACCGTACCCCTTCCTCCATTTTACAATTCAAATCCCCTTATGAATTGTTACAGAAAACAAAGCCTGCCTACTCTCATTTTCGAGTTTTCGGTTGCCTCTGTTTTGCTTCAACAATCCCTAAAGACAGACACAAATTCACTCCCCGTGCCAGACCTTCAGTGTTTCTTGGTTACCCCACTGGTACCAAGGGCTATCGAGTGCTTGATATACAAACTCAAACCATTTTCGTTTCCCGTAATGTAACATTCCATGAGAATGTCTTTCCCTTTAAAGACAAACCTGTTGATCCCGTTTCTGTGGACTTTTTCAATCCTGCAATATCACCCCACTACTTCTATAATACCCCTTCCACTATCCAAATATCTCCTCCACCTACCCCTCCTTCACCATCGTCACAAATACCAGCTCCACCTTCCCATGTTTCACTTTCTCAAACTCCTCTGCCTAGTTCTGTTCCTACCACAGAACATCTTTCCAACCTTCCAACTATGTCAGATGAACACGTTCGACCACACAGAGTCACTAGACCACCTGCTTACCTATCAGACTACCATTGTCATCATCTTACACACAACCAGCCACCACCACAGAAAAACTCAAACCCTTATTCTTTATCCAAATTTCTTTCTTATTCACACCTTCCACCTCATTATCAAAACTTTACACTCTCTATCACTACAGAAAACACACCCACCTCTTTTACCCAAGCAGTTAAATATGAGCACTGGAGGGCTGCAATGAAAATGGAGCTTGATGCGTTAAACCGAACGCAAACTTGGACTATCTGTTCCTTACCGGAAGGCAAACATGCTGTCGGATGTAAATGGCTATTCAAAGTGAAGTACAACCCGGATGGCACAGTTGAACGTCATAAAGCTCGGCTCGTGGCGAAGGGTTATTCGCAGCTGCCAGGTATTGACTACTTTGATACGTTTAACCCTGTTGCTAAACTGTCTTCTGTCCGCCTTCTGATAGCATTAGCTGCAGCACAAAATTGGCTTTTGCATCATATTGATGTCTCCAATGCATTCCTTAATGGCGACCTATCGGAA